GAGAGAGAGAGGTGTTCGTTGATAAGTTGAGAGAGTTTGCTTGCTTGCTTGCTTGCCAGCCTGTGTGTACGATCGGTGTTGGTTGATTGTGTGTCGGTGTGTGCTCTTTGTTGCTCTTTGTCTGCCTCTTCTCAGAACAGAAACAAAAATGAAGGAGTAAAAAGCGGGAAATGTGCGAAGAGGTGATGGTGGTGGTGAATGCAGCCAGCGTCTCAGTTCATGTTTACCTTACTGCTGAAGAAAAGTAGGAGAAGGAGGAGGAGGAGGGGAAGAAGAGTACTTACAGGGGAAAAAGGTGAGAGAAATAGAGGATGAACAGCAGCAGCTGCAACAGTGTCCAAATGAAGATCACTGTAGGAGAAGAAAAAGAAGGTCAATTAGCACAGTAGTTGTCAATGTCACCCTGATCAACCTGATCGTCATCACTTACAGTCAGTCAGTGCCTGAAACGCACTAGTTGAACTGGGACACTGCTCCTCCTTCTTCCCTGTAAAAGAACTCCTCACTGCTCCTCACTGCTCCTCACTGCATCAAGTCGGCGAGGGCCGCCTCGAAGCACCGCTTCAGCTCCTCAAAGGAGACGATGAGCACGTTCTGCGCGTCCCGCGACACCAGGCAGATCTTCTCCCCGCTGCCCACGTCCATCTTATTGAGATTGGTGATGATATGGCCCAGGTCGAGCCACGGCCGGCCCTCCTCGTCACACTGGTGAAAGAGGTAGTCGCGAAAGAGCTTCAGCATGTACCGGTCGCCCGTCTCCGACCAGTTCGGGTCGAGCTGGTGCTCCGGCCGTTCGTTGATGGTGCCCAGCTTGGCCAGGAGGCGGAGGAGGCGGCCATTGTCCGCCTCCTTCGCCAGCTCCTCGTAGAGGTGGTCGTAGCGGTAGTAGAGGTGGTCGAGCTGCATGTAGAAGCGGGCGCCAATCATCGGCATGATGTCATCGATGGAGCGGGGCTTGTTCGGGTTGGCCGTCGCCTTGGAGCTCAGCAGGTAGCCGATGAGGGTACGCAGGTCCGCCGAGTAGCTGCGCGGCACCAGCTCCAGGCACTCCGCCAGCAGGTGGCCGTCGGGCGGGGACGGCCCCGGCCCCGAGGCCGAGGCGCCCAGGCCCAGGCCCACGCCCGCGCCCGGCAGACTGAGCGCCGCCAGGCTGTTGGTGGCCAGCGCCAGGCAGAGGCGGCCAAAGAGGAGCAGGTCCTCCTGCTGAAAGTGCGCCACCAGCGCCCGCGGATTGGCGCCGGCGCCGTGGTGGTGAAGGAATGCAAGGTCCAGCGTGAGAATGTCCGCCACGCCGGCAAAGGCGAGGCGGAGGCGGGCGTTCCGGCCCCGGTTGCTGAAGGCGTTGTTGGCGTTGGCGCTCCAGCCGCTGGTGAGGAGGACCTTGGTGGGGTCGAGGGCGCGACAGGCGAGACTCGACTGGTGGATGATGCGCAGCGCCGAGGAGATCTGTATGATGTAGTTCCAGATGGTCGCCTCCGGCAGCAGCTTCCGAGTATTTGCCGCCTGTTGACTGTACGGTCGCGAGGCGGTGGAGTAGCCGTTCGTGGACAGCTGTTGCTGCTGCTGCTGCTGCTGGGACTGCTGCTGCTGAGACTGACCACCATTAGGTCCTCCAGGGCCGTTGATGCCACCACCACCACCACCACCTCCACCCGAAGAGGCCACGCCATTTCCACCAACATGAGAATTACCGATTATACCACCACCGTTGGGCGGCTGGAGCTGCTGATTGGCAAAGTAGGCGCCCATCAGCGTCTCCGAGGCCGGGTAGTAGTCGTAGACGAATATCACAGAGTTGTCGCCAAAGGCCTTGGTGGTGAAGACCTGCCGCAGGGGGACGATGTTCGCGTGCGTCACCTTCTTCCACCCGTCAATCGTCGCCATGAGCAGCTTCGCATTGGCGCTGCTGGGCGTGAAGGCGTGAAAGCGACGCAGGCAGACGAGCTGCCCCGTCTCGCTGTTCGTCGCCCGGTACACCGAGCTGGCCAGGCCGTTGAAGCTGTAGGAGGCGGCGCCGGGCGTCGGCTCCAGCGCCAGCAGCTCAATGTACACGTCGACGCGGGCGGGCAGCTCGAGGAGGGCCGCCTCGCTGGGCAGCTCCTGGCTCTTCACCAGCCGCTTCAGAATCTCCTCCTTGACGAAGTCGGAGACGAAGAAGCTGTTGGTCTCCGGCATGGCCGCCGCCGCGGAGCACTGCTGCTGCTGCTGCTGTTGTTGCTGTTGTTGCTGTTGTTGCAGTGACTGCGGCGGCGGCGGTGGAGGCTGGTTCATGTCGGCGACCATGTTCACGACGTTCGACGACCTCGCCGCCGCCTGGAGCTGCATCATTGAGAGGGGCACGTTTCTCGGCGGTGGCTGCTGATGCGGGTGCTGCATTGGAATGGATCCATCATGGAGGCTTAGCTGATTCAGCTGATTGCTAAGTTGATGGTGTTGTTGTTGATGTTGCTGATGGTGATGTTGTTGTTGGTGTTGTTGGTGGTGATGATGTTGATGGTGGTCTGATGGGGGCGGTGGAAGTTGTGGTGGTGGGTGGTGGTGTGCTAACTGCTGATACGGCTGATAGAGAGATTCATTTTGGTAGGCATTGTTCGGATCGTAGTGCGAGGAGGAGGGCGCCTGGTGTTGCTGCTGGTGGCCCGGTAGGTAGCTGAAGAGAGAGAGGTCGAAAATGGAAGACAAGGCAACATTCGAAAACACTTCTCAAAACCCACTTACCTGTTCAGTATTACTTTAGTGCCATACGCTGTTGATGGCAGCGAGCCATCCATGGTACAGGTGTCCGCAGGTAAGTGGTATCCCGCAGTGGACACCTCGGCTCGGAGAGAGGTTCAGCGTTGAAGAATGTTGTCCTGTGGGGAAACGTGGTCGTCGAAGTCGTCGTGTTGAAGTCTGCGGAGGAGAAAAGAAGATCGAAACGTGAGAAAGTAGAAAGCATGGACATGGACAGTGAGAGGCAAAGCACAGATCGNCTGTTGATGGCAGCGAGCCATCCATGGTACAGGTGTCCGCAGGTAAGTGGTATCCCGCAGTGGACACCTCGGCTCGGAGAGAGGTTCAGCGTTGAAGAATGTTGTCCTGTGGGGAAACGTGGTCGTCGAAGTCGTCGTGTTGAAGTCTGCGGAGGAGAAAAGAAGATCGAAACGTGAGAAAGTAGAAAGCATGGACATGGACAGTGAGAGGCAAAGCACAGATCGCGAACAGCAGCAGGACACCTTTGATCAGAACGTTGGCAAGAGAATTAGAAACGAGCCGCAGCAGCAGCAAGTAACCTTGGCTGTCGTCGCCCCAGCAATGACCATGAACCATGAACTGAAGAACAACTGACAACGACAAAGAAGACGACAGACAGTCAGTCAGTCAGCTCCCAATCAGTGTCTTACCTTCTACGCTCCGATGTTTTGTTTATGAGGAATGCTGCTGCTGCTGCTGTCGTTGATGGTCGTGCTGGTGGCATACACGTTGACAGTGTCCTGGACAGAGGGCTGTCGATGTCTCGTCGGTGCTGGCTGCTGGCAGATGAAAACATGCAGAAGAAGAGGGGAAAGAGAGAGATGTGATTAGGACCGTCAGAGTCAGAGTTGGCGACACAGTAATGAGAGGATGACCCNACGACAAAGAAGACGACAGACAGTCAGTCAGTCAGCTCCCAATCAGTGTCCCACCGCTAGTTACCTTCTACGCTCCGATGTTTTGTTTATGAGGAATGCTGATGCTGCTGCTGTCGTTGATGGTCGTGCTGGTGGCATACACGTTGACAGTGTCCTGGACAGAGGGCTGTCGATGTCTCGTCGGTGCTGGCTGCTGGCAGATGAAAACATGCAGAAGAAGAGGGGAAAGAGAGAGATGTGATTAGGACCGTCAGAGTCAGAGTTGGCGACACAGTAATGAGAGGATGACCCTGAACCGATGAGAGAGAGTCAGACTACTACCTCATCTTCTTCTTCTTCTCTCTTTCTCTTCCCTTACCTCACACGCAGATGTACACACAACATCAGCAGCACTGGCACTGGCAGCCTTCACCACTGCTCCAACACTGTCTCGCTGACAAAACAACTACGGCTGCTGCTGTCTTCAGTTCTCTTTCTCTCTCTCTCTCTTCTTCGGTGGTAGTAGGGCGCCCAGCTAGCGACGGCATCACCGATTAAGTGGGCGGGCACTCCTGGGTGGCTGTATCTGCCGCAGCACTGCAGTGCCCGCCTACCCCGTCAGCCTGCTGCACCAGTGGCGCCTCCTACGCTTGTCCAACTGCTCCCGGAAAGTCTTCCCGTCTCAGTTTCAGAGGTTTCCCAGGACTTCCCAGAGTTTCCCAGCAGCGCCACGCAGAAGATTGAACAGGTAAACCGGTTATCGCAGGTAATGATTGCTGGCCGATCTGGCAGCAGCAGCCAACCGTGGTCACCACGACAGCCCAGTGTGAATCACCATATCCATTGCCATTTTACCCCTAGGCCCCGCTTGCTAACGCAGGGACTGCGACAGGCAGCGGCGGCGGCCCGTGCAGCCTTGAACAAAGTAGCAGCAAATGAATACAGTGATTATGCGCATTGTTCTCTTGACATTGACCAAATAGAATCAAAATAGAATCAGCTTAGCAAATGGGGGCAAAAAACAGAATCGGTACAAGAAAGTACACGGTAGAAAGTAAAAAGGTAAGGGAAGAAGAGAGGTCGGTAGGTAGGTATAAATGCTTGAGCTCAGGTACGAGAGAGTTCAGTTGGCTCAGACGAAGAAGGAGAAGGTTTTCTAAAAGTTTGTAGTGAAAATAGAAGAGAAAGATGATGGCGATGATGATGATGATGATATTATCAGAGTAATAGTAGAGTAAGGAAGGAAGCACTAGGTGTTCAATGGGATTCAATGGAATGTCTGTGTGTGTGTGTGTGTGTGTGTGTGTGTGTTGATTGTGTTGTATAGTTGAGAGATATATGTTATATTATGCACATGTGCCAACTAGTGCTCGCTACAAACTTCACTAGTTCACCTCGCTAACCGGATCAGCAATAATAATTACTGCTACTGCTTCTGCTACTCATTAAAGGAGTTGAACATGCTCAGGTCCTCAAAGGCGGAACTCTGGTCCGGCTGACCGAGCATCTGCAGCATGTCCATCTCCTGCTGCTGTTGCGGCATTCCTTGCTGCTGTTGCTGTTGCTGTTGGCTATTCGTCTGCTGTTGCATTGCCTGCTGCTGCTGTTGGCTGTCAGCACCTGGTGGGGCGTGCCACTGGGGCCACATTCCTGGTGAGCAAAAGAGGAAGAGATCAGTGTTACCATTTGAGTATAATCTTTTTTGGGTGCAAAAAAGAATACCTCTTGCCGGTGTGGTGCCCAGCTGCGTGTACGTCGGCCCTGAGGGACTCCTCGAGGGGCTCACCTGTTGGTGGCCGTATTGCTGCTGCTGCTGCTGCTGCTGAGCCTGCTGGTAGCTGTCAGTGGGCTAAAAAGTGAGAAAAAATTAGAGGAGGATGAAAAAAGCAAACAAACACTGCGCTGCCGCCGCCGCCGCCTACCCTTGGAATGGCCCGTGACGCCCAGCTGTCATTGGGCGAGCCGCTGGCGACCATTTTGTTCATGGCCTGTTGATTGCCCTGCTGCTGCTGCTGTGCCGCAGTCATCGGATCGACCACCGAAGCGTTCAGAACACCACCACCACCACCACCGCCAGAGAGAAGGCCGCCACCGGCGTTGGGATTGTAAGCCAGAGCACTGGGGTCAGAGTAGACGGAGTATGGCTGGAAACATAGGAGAACACACAATAGGTCAGTTTAAAATAGTTTCAAACGAGTTCTTCAATAACTTGCATACCATTTGACTGTACATTGAGCCGTACCCATCGACGAGGCTCTGGTCCGCCTTGGTCGCCTGCTGCTGCTGCTGCTGGCTGGCCATCTGCTGCTGTTGTTGTTGCTGCTGCTGCAAACCGAGGTGCTGGGAACTGGTCTGCTGCTGGTGCGCCAACTGCTGCTGCTGCTGTTGGTAGTGCTGCTGGTGGGCACTCATCTGACTGGCACCGCTGTTGTCCACGCCCACCCCTACCGAATCAGCGCCCATCATGCTCGGCTCAGAGTGGTGCATGTTTCTGCTCGGGAAAAAGAGGAGGAAAATAGGCGTAAGAATCGTTTGAAAATGATGACCAAAGACCATCACCCCAGTGTTCACTTACTTGGTGGAGGTGTTCGTGCAGACAATGTACTCCACCTCGTCGGTGTAGGGATTGTGGAAGGCGAAGCTGCTGGTGCGCAGCCACACCCAATCACAATTCTTCGCCCGAAAGCGGTACATCACCGACATGACCTGGCCCTTCAGGCTGAGCACTGCGCGTTTGGGAGGAAGAAACAAAACAGATGATAATGATGAAATAAATCAAAACACCACCAAACAAAAAGCCACTGACCATGCTTGAAGCTCTCCTTCATGTGCGCCTGGTCCTCCGGGTGGTAGTAGTCGAAGCAGAGCTTCCCGAGCAGCTCCTGCGGCTGATAGGCCAGTATGGCGCTCACCCGCTGGTCGACGAAGGTGAACTTGCCGTCGAGGGCGTGCCGCGAGATGAACTCATTGCTGGCGTTGCTGCCCATCAGGTCGCCGGTGTTCGGCATGGAGGTCACCTGCAGCCGGCCAATGGCCACCAGGCAGCAGTTGTTCGCTGCAGCTGAATGACCATCCTCTCCACCCTGATGATCGCCGCCCATCGACCGGTCAATCATCTGCACGCCCGAGGGTGGCCAGTTCTTGATGTACCCGGTGCAGTGGACCACGGCGTAGGGGTTGATCGCCCCGGAGGAGACGTCGCCGCCCGTGGTGGAGGCGCCCAGGCCACTCCGCTGCCGCAGCCGGTGGAGGTGATTGGGCGAGATGGCGTCCGGCGGGACGTTGCCCAGCTTCATGCGACAGATGAAGCCCCGCCGGGAGCCCATGCACAGGCGCATCGACGACTGGTGGCCCTCCTTTTTGACGGTGCCCGCTAAACACAGAGAGGAAGAAGGAGTGTTAGTGTTAATGTTAGAAAATGCAATTAAAATCGCCCTTTCCACCACTTACTCTTCAGATCGAGTATCCGCCCCGAGTTGGGCGACTCCTGGGTGCTCAGCTGCTCGCGCACCTTCTCCACGTCCTCGGGGTGAATGAGGTCGTAGATGCAGGTGTTGTAGAAGTCCGGTTGGGAGTGGTTGAGCA